AACACGATATATTTATCAGTTTTCTTTAATAATTGCAAGATATATCTTATAAAATTTACTTACAGTTTCCTTTGCTCAGCTTCTTTTTGTATTATTTGACGATCTCGAGAATTGTCAGATATTAAACTCTTTTTTTATGCAGGATTTCACAGAATATCGTTTTCCAGTTATTCCAAATACTTCTTGCTTAGTAATATTTAATCAACTCTTATTTATTTGATTATTTTTATGATTTTTATCATAATCTTGTCAATAAATTTGAAATTATTTTAATCAAGGAAAGCAATCTCTGTGGGTTTTTTTCTTTAATGCATGAAACTCTCTTCAATTCAATACAGATACAGAAAATATAATAAAATCAATACGAATGATTTTTCTGTAAGATAAAGGGTTGTTTAATTCTTCTTTTGTTTCTCATCTAATTTTATAGTGTTCGAATGATTAATAGCTGATGTATTGATGGCATTAAGTTTAACAATCGGCAAATGTTCCACAATTTCATTCGTCCAAAAATAAATCCTGCATCTTGTCTCTTATGTGCGTACAGCCGTATGTAAATTGTCACAGTGTCTCTTCAGATATCGCTCCTGAGTAAATTTGGCGCCGCAGATTACGCAAACATGTAAGCGTTGATTGGTATGAGTGCGTTGATGACGAGTAATGCAACCTTTGCTGCGGAAACGCTCGTCACAGATATCGCAGGCATACGGCTTTCGACCAGAGTGCCAGGTCGCGTGCTTGTTCAATTCCTGTTTTCTTCTGAAACCACGGTCGCACAGAACACAACGATATGGCAGGATCTGGGAATGGTAGAGTCGGTGCACATGCAGGGACGCCTTCTGCTTGAAGGATTTGCCGCAAGTCTCGCACACGTGAGGCCTCTCACCGGAGTGAGTGCGCCTGTGCTCGTCCCTCGATGCTCTCGAGGCAAGATGACGGCCGCAAATATCGCAGGCGAAATTTTTAACGCCGTCGTGGACGTCGCGCACGTGCCTGTTCAAACCGGACGCTGATCGAAAACTCTTGTTGCAAATAGAACAAATGTACGGCCGTACGCCAGCATGAATGTTATGATGAATTAGCAGATTATACGATGTGGAAAGAATTTTCCCGCACTCCTCACACTTGTGAGAGACACTTCCGTCACCCTCCATCATTTTCGAGCGAGTTAGTTTGACGTGTTGTTTCAATAATTGTTTTGATCGTTTTGTACATTCTTGAGAATTTATCGTATGTTTCTCTAGAGGCTTCTGCGTTTGTTCAGAGTTGTTCAGAAAATTTGCCGAATCGTATCTTTCCAATTTCTCGTCAAAATCGCTAAGGTGCATCGATGATAAACATTTCTTGCTGGATACCGTTGATTGAGCTTTTCCGACATTAACGTATTCTTCAGACTCTTCGTTTCTTGGCGAGTTGACTTGTGCGTGTTTCTCCGATTCGTCTTTCGACACTCGACGCGTCGATCTGAAAAGAGAGTCAGCCCGTTACTTGGGGGGCGGCCAAACTTCGTGGTGGCTCGTGATTGAGCTTCTTATGATTAACTAAGTACCGCTTTTGGCGGAACGAGAGGCTGCAGTCGGTACAGCGCCAGGGTTTTTCATCAGAATGAATCAATCGATGTCGTTTCAGCTCATACTTGATGCGAAAGCAACGACCGCACACATCGCATGCGTGCGGCTTCTCACCAGTGTGCTTAGTGATGTGCACCATTAGTGGCGGTCGCGTGCGGAAGGTCTGACCGCAGTAACTGCATTTAAATGGGAATATGTCCGAATGCGTACGATTATGCACGAACAAGGAAGCCTTCTGCTTGAATGTTTTGCCGCAGACGTTGCAGACGTACGGTCGCTCGCCGGTATGAATGCGTCTGTGATCCTCGACGTTGCGCCGCGTCGAGAACATGCGGCCGCACAAATCGCATGGTACGTTCTTGATGCCAGCGTGAGTGTCTTTCAAATGTCGTGTCAGACCCTGATTCACGCGGAACCGTTTACCACATAGGTGGCAAGTAAATAGTCGCTCGCCCGTGTGGATGCGCAAGTGCCAGTAGAAGGTATACGGTGAATTCAGATTCTTGCCACATTCACTGCAATGATAGTAAATCTTACCGTCGTGTTCTATCCGAGCGCGAAGCACTGTTTCTGTGGCCACAAAGGATTTCCGGCTTCTATTTACGACTTCAGGGTGCGCCTCCGTCAGATGAATTTTTAACAGTTTCTTTTTCTGCGCGGTGTGCTCGCAATAGTTGCATGGATAAGTTCTGAATTGTTTTTTCAATGGTTTTACTGATGGAAAGCAAAACTCATTATTGTCGCTTGTGTTCTTAATATCTTCTATTAACCGATTTTTCTTTTTTATCGTCTTCTTTTTCTTTTCTGTCACTTCAATACGCGTTCTTGAGGAATCTTCTTTGGCTAAATCGTGATATTTGCAGTCTACCATATGGCGGATTAGATGGTGTTTTCTTTTAAAGACACGTTGGCAGTTATTGCAAGTATAACCCTTCTTCACAGATTCACTCGTTGACTGTAGAATTGTCGATTCATTTTTTTCTTGATCTCTTAAAGTGTTCGAGTCCGTTTTCTCGGCATATTTTTCTGCAGTGCAATTATCCGACAAATTGTATGTTTCTTTTTTCGAAATTTCTTTAGTAATCAGCGTCATGCTTCTCATCGGATTGCTTTCATTTATCGTGGCATTACTTGTCCACAGTGCAGCATTATACGAGGAATGGTATGTCGTGAAAGATCTCTCCTTTGTCAGCTCGCACCTGGAAAAACAACAAAGGCGGCAGATTTGAATCGGTTTCGTCGAAGGCGCGAAAGGCCGTGTCTACATAGAGAAGCAGAGAGAAGGAAAGGGCCATGATACCCTTTCAGCTTAAATTTCTAACGTCCCTTATCGTTAGGACACTCGCAGAGATTCGCCGTTGTGCCGACTCTTAATATGATTGTTCAGGTAGCGCTTCTGCCGAAAAGCAAGACTGCAATGAACGCAGACAAACGGCTTATTATCGGAATGAATAAGTTTGTGCCGCGCGAGTTCGGACTTGACCCGGAACTTCCTCTCACACACGTCGCACACATGATTCTTCTCGCCGGTGTGCGTGGTCACGTGGGCCACCACTTCCTGCCGCCGACGGAATCGCTTGCTGCAATATGAACACATATACGGGAATACGTTGGTGTGTAGTTTGCTGTGGATGTATAAGGACGCTTTGGATTTAAAGGTCTTCCCGCACGAATCGCAAATATACGGTCGTTCACCGGTGTGAGTACGTCGATGATCGTCTCGCGTCGCCTTGGACGCGAACGATCTGCCGCATAGATCGCACACAAAATTCTTCACCTTTGCATGCACATCTTTGAGATGCCTGGTCAGTCCTCCAGAATCACGAAACTGTTTGCCGCACACATGACAAGTAAACGGTCGCTCGTTCTTGTGAATTCTCATGTGTCGTAAATACGAATCCTTCAGCTTGAAGCATCTACCACACTCGGCGCACTGGAACGTATTATCTTTATGCGATGCTTTTCCAAGAATCTTGCACAGATCTTTACTGTCCTTTTCATTATCAAGTATCAAATGCATCGAGTTGTCGTCAGAAGAAATGTGATCCCTCTTGCTTTTCTTCACCTCGTGTACGACAGTGATCGTCCGAAGCTCGTTGTCCTCAAGATTAGAATTTTTTATAGAATGGTGCATCGAAACAGGTTCTCCCTTCACTTCGACAGGCAACTGATCATTACTCTCTGGCTGTTCAGACATGGTAGATAGTTGATTGTGCGTCGTGTCCATGACGGCGATCCAAACCGAATCGGAATCCTCGGTTGTCGCGTTCGGCTTTGTCAGGTTGCGGACGGTTCTCGGCTGGGACCGTTTCCTGTATGGCTTCCAAAATGCTTTCGGCATGTCCGGGGACACTTTTAACGGTGTTCGGACGCCGCACGACCTGTAAAATAGCCGAAACTTGACTCCAGGTTTTGCGATTGCGCGGCACGACGCAGCGAAGAATTGCAATTTCGAATCAGCTGTCACAGCCGCTCGTTTTTTTTCTAGGTAAAGCCAACCACCCCGGCTGTTACGATGCGTTACCTCTCTCTTTCTATATTTTACTCAAAATCTTTTGTTAAGTTGTCGCAAAAATGTTCTTGGCATATCCAACGCCGACAAATTGTTCAGTTTTTATGTTTTCTTATAAAAAGTGGCTCAGCGAAGTTTCACAGTTCGTTATGACGCGTATCATGATTATTCGTATGTAGTCGATGTCGAACAGTCTTCATCTTTTCATAAGATAGACGGAAAATGTTTAACAAGCTCTACGTGACACTTGCATATATATTATTTGCATTATATTTCTAATATTCTATCATCTACGTGCTAAAAATACAGCGACCATGAGCAAACGTTCACATAAATGAGGTATAGATAACGAGAAAGAGAATTTCGTGCTATTTTTGTTTAGTTAACAAATTATGAAAATATGAGATCATTACCTGTTAGATTTATTAATTTTTTCAATACTACAACCTTCACTTTTATCATCGTCCTGCTGACTTGGCTGTAATAAGACGTTCTAATTAAATTTCTTATGTTTCTGATTCAAAAGGATTATTTTTTAGTTTAATCACACTTACTAATGGATCCGTAATATTAGACGCAATATTAGTCGTAATATTAGACGCAATGGTCGTGCTGGCTGTTGTAAAAATAGGCGCAGTAACTTCTAAATTATCCAAAGAAGGATTGTAATACTGCAAACATTTAAAATATATAATTAGAATATTATATAATTGATAATGAAAAAGCAAAATTACAAAAAAATTAATTACAGAAAAATCTCAAGAGCAATGAGGAAAAAACGGATATACGAAACTAGAATAAAATTAAGCATATCTATAACAGAAAAACATGTTTTCTAAAGTAAGATGTAAAATTATTCAGGATTAGTAAATTAAAGAAGCTTGACGAATATGATACAATGATAGAGT